TCAAAGAGTTCAAGCCGGCAACTTCGACTTCGCCTGCGGTTAAATTAGGATGTTATCCCGGCCGGAGGACCAAAATGTCGACGTCGGAACACGTTTATTAAAAAAAAGCGGAGAAAACCGAACAGAAATTGGTGGAGCAAATAAAGTGAAATAATGAGGCGATAATGGTGACGGGTGGTTTTTGTTTCGGGCTGATACTTGGCACGGATATAGACGTCGCTCGCAGTGGAGGAGGGGTAAATTAGAAGCAACGAAAATAAAAACATAATTCGAAACTGCCGAAAAAACGCCCGGAATGAAAATACACTGCTTGAAAATATACACGCGGACATGCATCTAATGATGTGGCACACTGAGAAAAAACTATGGTTATAATTACCATAGTGGTGTTCAATATGCACTCTTATTTAGTAGTGGTCATAACCAATAATAGTGATACTTTTACTGGAGGAATCGTAATTTTACAAAAGTGCGGTAGTAAAATTACCATTTAATGGTAAAAATATCTCTATTATTGGTTATGGTAACCACTGGTTAAGAGTTCATATTGAACACCACTAATATGGTAATTATAACCATAATTTTTTCTCAGTGTATGAGAAGTGTAGTGATGTGCATGAAACATGTACAACTCTTTTCTCCAATCATGTCTTTTTCTGAACCTCTTGAAAGCTTAATACATGCAAATAATGCATCAGACATTTTCGAGTTGGATTAATGGTTTATCAGCGGAGAATATCAGGTTTTACACCCAAAAAGGGAGCAACATTACGGTTTCATCTATTTCATACCCGTATTTCCATAAATCGGTGTCAATTGTGTTACATTCAAAAGATTGAATCTTTGAATATGCCAAGATCACATGAGATGGTTTTTGTGTGTGTAAAATAGCTTGCCAGCGATTTAATTGGGTCGGTTAAATTAGATTCACGAATGAGTCACTTGTACCTGCCACGAATAAATTCATGCCAATTATATTCTTACAAATTACAAGCTTGGTTCAATAACTTTTTTGCTCATTGCTACGAAGAAATTAACGCAAATATTTTTCTTCAATAAACAGGACCCACTCACCGTTGTAAATTTGTGTAGCGTTTAGGACTGTGACACCTTAGCGAAGGCACTCAACTGACAAAGACAGTATTCGTAATCGTAATCCTGCACAGCCTAATAATTAATTTTGGTTCTCAAACTCATCTTTCTTTTTCGCCCCTAAATGAAACCATATTATTATCCTCAAATGACGTCAAAAGTGACACAATTTGTGCTGGATTCATCGTTGACTTTTTAAGGTGTACTTCGGCCCGTGAGAAAAACAAATAAATATAAAATAACTTACACTGAGCCCTTCTGAGGGCCGTGTTTATATTCAACTCCTCTATAAAGAGGCCCCCCTTGGTTTACCTTGCGAGAGAGGGAGTAAGAGAGACTTTTAACACAGCATCATATGTAACAATTTTTGCGAGTCTGGAATATAATTGAATCAGTGAGTTCGAAAACACACCAACTCGGAAAAAAAAATTGTTCAGGAAACACCTAAAACTGCGCAGCGGGCGAGGAAGTTAGTTCAAGAAAAACCTTTTTGGTGCCAAAGGACAAATACTTAGGGACTTTGTAAAGCACCAAGTTTAAATCGATACATCATGTTCGATGACAGAGAATTAAGCGTTTTTTCCGAGTTGGTGTGTTTTCGTTCTCACCGACTTTCAGATACTGATTTTTCATAGTCTGCCCAGAAAAATTTATATTTTTCGACCTGAATAACGCTTGAATATTTATATAATAACTTGTCAGTACAAGGTATACTGAACCGAAAAAGAAAACTGCAAAATCGTATGGTGACCCCTTTCCCTTGAAATGGCCAAAAATTGGTATTTCCAATGAAATACTTCGATTTTTCCCTTTTCCCGTCGCTGTTTCGAGCACTTCCGATTGCAATTTTGAAATTTCCTTTTGCGTGCAGATGCTCCTATCCACAAGTGTTACTAAACCGTAAAAAAGTGAAAATCGGAAAAAACCCGAGTTGGTGTGTTTTTGAACTCACTGATTCAATTAAAGTTATTTGCTCCTCAACCGCCAACGGACGATTTCGACGTTTTCGCTGGCCGCGAAGCGGGCCGGGGGTTGTGCCGCGTAGCGGTCAGGGGGCAGAGTCCCTCAGTTATCATTATTGTGTTTCCTCTTCAAAATGTCTCATTCCTCGATTGATTCGCAACTTGGCAAGGAGGTCCCGAAGGCGAGAACTCGGTTTCGGTGCAGGAGGAATGCTGTTCGCTGCACCTTCTTCATCCGCAGCACCCAGCGTTACACGATCTCGCGCTATTACACTCAATTCCCGAACCACTCCGTTGTGAAGCGCTCATGATCCCGGTCGATTCGGCACATGTGCGAGTGCACAGAGCACTTTACTCTACAATGTCCGAGCACGCCTGCATTTTTGAAATTCGAAGGCTTGTCCGTGGAGCGCCACATACTAGCCCGTTCAAGTGTTCAACTCCGATTGATTGCTTTTACATGTTCGGATTGTTCGATTGCCCGTTTTCAATGCGCCCGCGAGCATCCGTGAAAGAGAGTGGGAATCCGAAACGCGGTACGCGCCATCGCCCGCTCTTAAGATTGCTCGTGGTGTTTCTCTCCGTGAAGAAACCTGAATGCCTTTACTTCGTCCATTTATCATTGAGAAATGTTCTACCGAAACGGGAAGATCAATCTGTTCCAACTTGGACCTTTGAAATGTCCTTAAATGCTTGTATTTCGGCACCAAAAATTTTTCATGGATTCATTCTGGGAAGAGGCGACGGGGACGTCTCGTAAAGGGTTGGCGGCAGGGCGTTGACGAAGAGATCCGGAGATCTCGGTGTCGGTTGCCCGATAACCTCTGGGAAGACAGGGATGTGTGGCGTTTGGGTGTCGTAGAACGCCAGAGTGCGTTGTTAAAGCGACTTGATATAAATATATAAATTTTCTATCGATGAGATGGGGTTCTGCAAGGGACATAATAGTATTTTGATGATTAAGCTTCAAGATTAGTAAAATTTAATGAGATCCGTCCGAACACCGAGTTTTCACGTCCAATATGCAGCAACAAGGCATATGACGTCAGCCACGTATGAAGAGAGCCTAAAATATTTGCTTTAGTTACTTCTCAGAAAATGTATAGTCCAATTTTTCAACCCTCCTCTAATCAAAAACCATTGTGCTTTCAATACTTTTGCGGAATTCCGTCTCTTCATTCTCAATAATTCTCATCTGATTCGCAGTGACACAAATTCCCGTGGGTTGGGCTTCGGAGCGGCCATGGGCGAAGACCCTTAGTCACCGTTAATCTTGTAAAAGAAACTTGGCGTTCAGATGGATCTCACAATTTAGTGTGAATCCGCTTCAACCATCAAAACGCGATGTTCATGACCAGTGGAGCTGACTTATTGAATTTAAATAGTTAACAATGAAAATTGCTCTTCATTTCAGGGACTGGAGAAAACAAGTCAGTAATTTTTTCCAAGTTCTTAAAATCCCAAACAAAACCCTGTAAAAATACAAACATTTTCTGGCTGTATTCATGTTCTACAGCAGGGCCGGATTTACCTACTTGCCGCCCATGGGCGGCCTGTATTTTGCCACCTCCTTCTGATTAGTTTTGAAACATCAATAAAAACCATCAAATGAACGTGCCAGCGAGGGAGGGGTGCATAAGACGCGTTTACTCGTGTTGGAGACATTTTTTTCGAAAGCCCTGTCAACACTACTAGCAAAAGTTCACGGAACTTTGTGCGAAAGTTAAGTTTCGTAAACCTATCTCTGTGTGGACAAGGCCTTCTATTCATAAGAAATGAACCAAAAAATTATGAAAGAACAACCATAAATGTGGATTAATGATTTTAACTTCCGCCGCCGCGCCGCGCCGCGCTGACTGCACCGTGTTTGGCGCAATGCGTGAAGTATTCCGACAGTCTTGTAGGCGCTGTGAGTTTCACGCCGACCGCTGCTGAACGCACTGTGTTTGACGCAATGCGTGAAGTATTCACGCAGTCTTGTGGGCGCTAATATGTGTTACATGCCGATCGCCGCGCCGAGGGCTTTTCCTTTTCATCTCAAGTCCTCGTCAGGACTCTATTTCTCTCTCAGTCGCGCCGTTCTGGACCAAATTGCGTGTTTTAACTATTTGGTTTGTCTCTTAACTAGAATAATTAAAGGTGCTGTCTCTTGTATCTCTGAAAGACGACAAAATTAGAAATTATTATACTCTCAGGAAATGAGAGATTTTGTTGCCCTCTCTCGTTTGTAATTTTCTTTTCTAAATCCGATTTTTTTATACCTACATTTAAAAAATTTGCAAAATTTGCCGCCCCCTATAGATTTGCCGCCATGGGCCGCGGCCCATGTGGCCACCCCCTTAATCCGGCCCTGTTCTACAGGTGTAGTTCTGTGTCTATCTCATGTGTTTTCCGATTGTGGAAGGCTGATTCTTCTACGCTCATGATATCTCCTAAACCAGTTATAACCAGAAAAGGGACACCTCTTTCCAAGCCAGTGTATGATTTTGGCGACTTTTTTACACCGTCCAAAACGACTGACGGTGATAAGTTCTAATCTTATTTGTTCTCGTCAGCCGCCTGTCAAAACTGCATTTGCTTGTAGGTGGCCTGTCGTGGTTTGCGGAGAATCGATTGATGAGCCATTTAAACATATGACAAGGATCGATTATCGGGCTGTTCGCAATGAGCACTTTAATAATCGATTCTGTATCATCGCTTCAAATGGGAAAATACAAATGACCGAATGATTCACGCCACGCTGCTAGGTGACACACATTTTTTCCTTCAATGCAGAATGAACTTTTGAATTTGATAGAGGAGACACGAATTCACAATCAGAAGCACGTTGTCTAAATAGGATTTGAGCTTATCAACATTATGTAAATTAAGATTTTAGTTGTACTTTATCTGTGACATTGCAATAGATTGGCTGACAAATGCGCCTTGAGCAGTTTTTTACTTGGCGTGCTTCACCACGGGAGTAAAACCTTTGAAACGAATTATTCTCGCAAGAGCTGAGCATATGTTTTTTTTATGTTTTACTTCTTTTGGCCCACATAACTCATTGCGTTGCTCAGTAAGTGCATTAGTTGTTCATAAAACCCCGTTTTTTAATACGCATTTTTTTATTTATTACTTAACGATTATTCCTAGCAAGATTTGCTGAAAAACTTGATTTAATTTGTAATGAGTATTAGAAATTCTGTGAAATTATCATAGCGTTTTCCGAAAATTTTCTATGATCTCTTTTTTTGAACTCACCCTGAAAGAGGCACGTGTCCATCCAATGTTACTAAGATTATGCAACTTCCCCGTTCTGTTACTCAAATATGAATTCTCTTGATTTTGCAAAACATGATCAGAAACATTACCTCAGAATTATTAGAAAATTAGAATATTTTATGACGATAAGCATGTAAAAATAAAAGCTTCCGAGAGCAAAAAACCGCATCAAATAAAGCTGTACAGTTTTAGCAGCGTAAGATGCGCATGTAAGTGCCTTTTCCCGAATGGTTTTCAATTAGGAAACACAATGATTTTGGAATTTTCCTACACATGACAGTACACTCCACATCTTTACTAGGTACTCAATTTTCTTCAGTCTAAATTAAAAATGATTGCCCAGGAATGTTTTTTTCAGAATTTGTATTTCTACGTAAATTCATGATTTTTAATGTTGATTTTCATCCTACTGGCCTTAAAATTTGACAGTACCTGAATCATGGCAGTCGTGAAATTTGATATTCATTAACGTCATTATTATTTTTGGTTTCAATTAAAATTGATTGAAATGAAGTTTGCGTTTCAAGGCAGATTAATAAAATAGCGTCAAAATGAATACTATCCATTTCCGTTCCAGGAACAATCAGGTTATTCTTAAGAGATACAAAAGTTGCACAATCTAAGCTACCTGCAGTATGACTCAAATAATGATTCATTGTATTTTTAACAAGGGACGTGCGCATGGACAGTAATCAAAAATTGAAAACGGTTTGTAGCCTCTGGTAAACATGTTTCTTTCCTTCCAAAAACGTGCAGCTAATCGAAAGTAACTAACTTTAATTGCAGAGTCGAGGAAAGCGATCCTGAGCGTGTCATTAGGACGTACTTAAATCAAACGGAACCATCTCCATTTTGATATGGGCCCTGTCGTCTACGTGTATTCGGATATGAGTCTCAGGGCCCAGGTTTCAGTGGAAATAGTCCCTTTTGCTTTTAATAAATTCATTTTAAATACCATCACCTCAACCAATACGTCTCGGACTAGAACAGTGACGGGAGTAAACCCCCAAAAAATGAGGGATTGTTTGAGTAGCAAATGATAGCCACGCTATGAAACGAGCATATTTGATTGCGTCAACGCTCAACGGGCGTCTACCAACTGGGCCGGTAAGACTTTAATTACGGAAATTAATACGAATAAAAGGGAAAAACTAAAACACAACTTTTCGGACGAGGTATAATTACAGTGCGAAGCATGCGTCGGTTGTAACTGGGATTTCTTCAATGTTGTCAAATCATCAGGTTATCGACACCTTGTTGAGCTTATTGAGTTACCGATCTACCCTTCACAGGTTTAAGACCAAGCTAGTAGTGAACAATGCTCACCGCATCATACGACGGTGCACATTTTCTTCTTCAAATTACTTTTTGAAGTGGGCCCAGTCATCTTCATTGCTCGAAATTTCATGTGATATTTTTGGGTCCCAAAATATTTTCATAGATCACTCTCTGCGTCCCAGTTTCAATAACTCAAGTTTGAGTTTTTGATGAATAAGGTCCCTAGTCCCTTCTCCCATCGACAGTCACAAATGATGATTCACTGCTCCCAAATATTTTTGGGTAAGCGGTGAGAGTGTCATTTAAGAAGGGCACTTGCTACCCTCCCTCTCTTTCGCATTATGAATTTGAAGAGTGTAAATTCAAATCCTGCATACAAGTTACATACTCAGTTCGTTGCGCCATCAGGTGTAGTTAGGAGCGTTCTTCTTTATAAAATAATCTTCTTTTTTTTCTTTTTTTGAGATTTTCTGAAAATATTGACTCTAACTTTAGGGACAAAAATTGTTACGCATAGCATAACGTGTCTCCATTGGTAGAGAAATACGATTGCACAATCCTAGCAGCACCTGATGGTGTCTCCTAGGATTTGAATCTCCATTTTTAATTCGAGCCACTTACAATGCAATTTTGGTAAAACATGATCAGTTTTAAAAGGTATTTTAGATGCATTTTTTTTAAATAGATTTGATGAAGTTTTGCCACCCTCCAAGAAATCGTCCCAACTCCCCCCTCCCCCGCCACCAATTTATATTTGGTTAAAATGACAACTCCACGAAACAGCAGTTCACCGTAGGACGCAATTGCAATTTGACTACGCTGCGCGGAGTTCATTCAATATGTAGACGCACACTGTAAAGGGCCCGCTCGTGCGTACCAACTCATGTCACTCACGAAACAAAAAGAAACGCTCGAACCACTAATAATTAGCTCGGCGTTCGTTCCCCGAGAGCCGCACTCGTTTAGGTTAGCTGCAAGAAATCATACCGCCGATGCGATGCCGAATTAGGTTCCGTGACAGTTCGGACAGGTTAATTTACCCGCCTCGCACGGGGTCACCCCCCCTTCATCCCCCTCATCCCCCCTCACCACGACGCACAGTTGAGCTATTCATTGAAAGGGGCTAGACACGATACTGAAAAATTACAATCTTTATTTATGCACAACATAAATGTTTAAAATTGATCCCATTGGGTCTCTTGTATGGATTCCTGATTGAAGCACACATTAAAATTTAAATTGTAGCGAAATAAACGTCAATATTTTGCAGTTATAATTAAAAATGTAACGTTTCCTTGTCCTGAAAACTTGTTCCACTGTGCGACACCGGGATCCGCTGGCTCGGTACTGTACTGCCGTGCTAAGGAAAAACGCCGTATGGGCCTTCAGGCGTTGCCAAATTTTCCTCAGCAGAATCACCAATTTTCAGGAAAATATTTGAATATTCGTCTACCAATTTGTCAGATAATTTTGTTAGTAATTTGATCTAAAACGTCTGAAAATCTCGCGGGAAAATATTCATAATTTTCCTCAAAAATAAACATTTTATCGAAGGAAATTTGGCAACTCTCGAATGTTCATGTGGCGTTCTTCCTTGGACCGGCAGTGTTCCCCGAGTGACCGCGGGGTACACTCATATCGCATGGACTCTATTTATTGGTAAATTTCGCCTTTAAATTGCCAGCCTCCTTCGTATATTCGGTAATGGCACCGCGTTATTTATGTGGGGCCCTCCCGGGAGAGGGGAGTAGGGCATTGATAAAGCTGTGCGGCCGCATTGCCGGCCGCTGAATGATGAGTGTTCGTACCGCGTTCGGGTATCCAAAATGTAAATGTATAATCTCCAAAACAGCGTTTCTTAATTGCGACGTATGTGCGTTTCCACATACTTTAGAAAATACAACATTTTGACTCGGAACTCACTATAAAATTGTCGTTGAATGGTATGCCAATGGCTACAAAACTGCGGATTCCTGGGAGCCTCCCGTGAATTTTTTAAAAAAAAGTCGTATCATAAATGTCTCACAATGTTAAAATACTTCATAATTTTGTATATTGCACTCTACTGAAGAATACGCAAAAGTTAAGTATGTGGAAATCTGATCCTCAAAAATGTGATCCTGGTGCGGTCTTAGATGACCAATTTTTGTTTTTTGTTTTGTTTTCTTTTTTTTCAGACCAACAAATTTGTTTGATTTACGTACCAATAAGGAGATGGTAATGAGAAGTTTGGTCCTTAAAAAAAAAAAAAAAAATCCTACGCTGACGTTTCATTTGACCCGGTTCAGTTTGATTATACGGACAGATACCACTATCAATACTCCTGGTAACTCCTTCTGCCTACCCTGTTAGATGAAGGCGAGTCCATTTTACAGAATTGCAACTTTTCCTCGCTCCAAGTTCTAGTGCCCACATTGTCTCGTGAGTTCTCTCGTAACGAAGGAAAAAAGAGTTTCAGACGATTATTACCCTCTTACACACCATAAGGTACCTTCAGAAGCATAGAAAAAAAACAAATAATGAATATAAAACGAATGGTGAATAGGCTCCAAGAATAAGGCCGTTTTTGGCTTCCTCTCTAAAAACTGTGGGGTTCCGTCGATTTTTGACTAAAATGAAACCTTACGATGAGGGAAGCCTCACGTTTCAGTTTGAACTTGAGATCAAAGCTTTCAGATAATGCAGCCTTGCAAAGTTTACATTTTTTGTCGTTTAAAAAACGCTCCTGTGCAAATCGCCAACTTGCGCGACGGACTTACTCGCGCCTCAAACAAAGTAAGTAGGTACCTGAATGCTACCTGCTCCCTCCTTGCCCCGCCGCACTGTGGATCGAGTCAACGGGAGAGGTCGGACATGATTTAGAAACTTTAAAATCATATATCTTCATTAATATGAAATTTTGATGTTCTAAAAGTATTTTCATTGGTTTTCGCGTGTAATTTTCTGTAAAAAGCACCCCTTAAAATTAAAATTATGATGAGATAAACGAGAAATTTTACAATTTTTGTCAAAAATTCCATGTCCGACTTCTTCCATTGACTCGATCTACTGTGCGCCGCTGCAGCCGCAGCGTTATTGCAACTTGCGACGAGTCATCGATGCCCTTATGACAAAAGAGCGTATCTTAATTTCCACTTGAGCCCTGTTGTCTATATAACACCGTGCTTTTCAGGGCTCATGTAAAGATGGAGATACGCCCTTCCGTCAGAGGAGCGACGTCATGGCGGGCGGTTGCCCTACATTCCGGAGCTCAAGGTCACGGAATGAATCGCCGGGGGTGACGAGTCGGTGGGGAACCCGTGAAGTGACGTCACACGGAGATGAATGGCTCATTCTAGCGCCACCTGGTGAGTGGTGAGGGCGGCGGTGGCGGTGGGAATAAACGGTGAGTCGCTCGAGCTCATCAAGAGTGAGTCATAATCTCCTCCGAAGAACTGAAGGAGTGGATGAGGTTTCAGCCCGGGGTTGGATTCCTGATGAAGTCGACTTTTTTTGCTATTAGGAACGACCACCAGTCTGCCGTGCTAAGGAAGAATGGCGTATGAACCTTCAAGCGATGCCAAATTTCTTTTGGTAAAATACGAATTTTTAGGATAACTTGTGACAATATTTCAGAAAATTTTCTTCGCAATGTGATCTAAATTATCAGAGAATTTCTGGTAGAAATATTCAATATTTGTCTAAAAAATTAACATTTGAAGAGGGGAAATTTGGCAACTCTCGGATGTTCATATGGCGTTCTTCCCTAGCACGGCGGCATTGCGAATGCGATGCCACCGATTAGTATAATGTAACCTCATACTTTGAAATAAAAAATTAAATTTTTTAAAATTTTATTTGCACACCGAAAACTTTTAAGTAAGGAGATTAGCCCTGGGTTCCAGGTGTGGTCAAACTGGCATACTATATATATCGCATCGATTAAGTATAAAATCTTGGCAGGATTTAACTTTTTAGCCAAAAGGACGATAGCATTCAAGCCTAATTCAAAAGAATCGTTCAAAAAAGAAAAAAAGATTTTTCATACCTAATCGATGCATATAAATCATACGTCAGTGCTAATACACCTATGACCTGGGGAAAATAACACAAAACGAAAGACTTACTCCAAAAGAAAAATCTCAGAATTCCAAAATTCAAAACTTTAAAAATTCACCCTACAAACCCATTAAAAGGTAGGGTGGAAAAATTGCTTCCCTAATCTGAAAAAAAAACCTCCAGAAAATATTTTTGCGACATTTTCATAGTTGGCGTATCTCTGCGCGACATTTCGTCGCTTTTCTGCTCCCCCCCTCCTCACCCGCGGTCGTCTAGACGGCGCGGTGGACACTGGACCCTCCCCCCTGCCCCGACACTGAAGCGTCGCGACGCACTACGGCGTACGTTGAGCTCATCATTAATCAAAAAAAAAATCCCCCAACCTGTCAACGAATCAATTCTTCCGAATCCTGCATCCTATTACCACCTCACCGCCCGGAATCGAGCGAGGTTGTCAAATTTCGACTCGCGCACAAATATCGAACTATACCTTCCCTTCGGACTAAATTATGCATTAGGAACTCCAAATTGTGGCTTAGTTTAAGAATAACGTATGTGCAATTAATTACCCTATGCACATAAGTGTTTTTACGAATGAGCCGGGAATTACAGTTCTTGATTGCAAAATGCTGTCCATTTTATATCCGACTCGACCAAGAATGGCTCTCTTAGAACATGTTCCTCTGTGCACTTAGGCTCTTCTTCTTCCATACGAGTACTATACGACTACAATTTTTGGCTCATTCCATAATCAACGTACGTGTTATTAGTTTCCCAAAGGAGGTAGGTGC